GTGATATTTTGCAGCTGACCTATGACTGTGAGCATTACTGTGATTTTGCATGCGAGCTTAGCTGTGATCATTACTCCGTGATTTATAACAGACCTACTTGCGAGTTTTGCCTGCTGATATTACTGTGATTCTGCGGTGATATTACTGTGATTTTGCACGGAACATTACTGTGATATTACTGTGATTTTGCACAGGGACATTAGCTGTGATTTTGCTGTGACTATTACCTGTTGATTATTTGCATGGATATTACCTGTGATCATTACTGTGGTTTTGCTGGTATTTCACTGTGATTTTGGCTTGGACAGTACTCGTGATATGTACTTGATTTGGCTGTGATCATTTACTCTGATTTTGCACGGAACCTTACATGTGATCTCTGCTGTGATATTACTGCTGATTTTGCAACGGACCTTACGTGATTTTGGCTGTCAATATTACTGTGATTTCTAACGGACCTTCTGTGATTTTGCACCAAACTTTACTGGCGATTTTCCGTATACTTACTGCTGATTTTGCTCTAGTCTTTCTGGGATTTTGTACTGATCTTACTTGAACTTTGCTTCAATGTCACCCCCATCTTACCGTGATCCCGAGAACTGATTCTTGCAGAATAGGCAGCCACGACTGAAGCTGGAGTTTGTCCTCTCTTTCTCTTGCTGAATCAGAACATCCTCCTACAAAACACACAACCGTCATGGACGATGAGTGCCACTAACCGACGCAGCAGCATGCCGACATGGATAAGATGCGGCAACAAAAATCTGTTCTAGTACAAGTGTAAGCACTGCAGTTGCTGGTTTAGCTTTCCTGCGCATAATACGCCAAGTATTGATCTTCCTCCTACTTTCTTTTTATTGCATTCAGATCATTTACCTATCATCCGAGCCACTTATCTCAAGGTATCATTCACTAATTCATCATTCAATTCGATTCATTTACCTATTCATCCAGCCACTTATCATGTAATCATTCACACATTCATTCATTCATTTACCTATTCATCCAGCCACTTATTCATGTAATCATTCACACATTCATTCATTCATTCATTCATTGAAAATGTTTATTTATGATTCACAGTAAAGCTTCAATTGTTTACTGTGCATTTCCCTTCTCACTCAGTAGTTATCCCATAGTTTCAAAAAACAGACAATTTGATATTTTGCACACATAACAGCATAAACTCACAAGCTTCTTTCTCTGTAACTTCTCACGAAGTTCTTTATCTTCTGGTAATACGTCACAGAGTAAGAAATAGTATTCTTCCTGCCCTTTAAGAGAATGACAATAAAATGGCATTAGTAAACAATGAGCAATTTTGGGAGACTATTGCTAATCTATGCACAGCTGGGCAGATAATTACAAAAAAATCTACAGTGACAACTCACCTAGATCAGTTTTCCTTGCTGTTCGTTTTGATGACACCACAGAATTCGGTCAAGGGACTGACCTGGAATTTCTCCTTCCAGTACTCTACATATCTAGATAGAGGTTTTGGAAAAATAACTTTAATACAAACACTACTTGCAGTTTGGATAGCCTTAATAAAGACAATTCACTTATAATATATAATATTACCATAATGTGTCAGTGTGAAGACAACACGCAAAGTAAAAGGTAGTTTAATCAGACAAATCCATGTCAGTTCCTCCTGTACCGGCTCGCACCTTTAAAAACTAGACCCCCCCCCCCCGTATACATACATCAACATAATCATCCATCATCAGCGTAATTCTAAACCCTATTTCTTACCTAACTTTACAAAACTAATCCTAACCCTATTATGCACGTGCTAGGTATGACGGTTACAAAGTACGCATGACGTTTCTCCATCTTGACGCGAGGTCACTTCAACAAAGCCCAACGCGCAGCAACGCCTTAACCGTCTCATGTCGGCAACCTGGTGCACTTCACCTATGACGAACTTGTGTTCGCGTAGCAGATGGGCGAGGAACTCGTCTCTCGCGGCAACCAGGCAATAGCATTCGTCACACAGTGGGCAGGCCGCGTGGAGGATTCATCCTCGCTCGCCTGGGCTTCCGTCTGCTGCCGCACCGCTGATGAAACAGAGTGCGCCTCCACGACTGTGTCCGGACGCGGGTGCGTATTTACGCCGACACTCGTACAACACGACACAAGTAGACCAATAAATATTATGGACCAATTTATTGGTATACTATGCACCGTCGCATGACACAGCACTGGCACAGGCAGAAGATTGTCACTGTTCTGCTTAATGTCGTATTTACGTGAACGTATCCACGTACATATATGCCATGTACACGTGTGTCACTGTATGTATTTGTTCATGTTGTCAGGAGCATGATTATACAGGTAGTCGTGATATTAACCTATTCTAGTAGACTCCTAATTCATCACTTCTAGACATGAAATTACTGGAGGGAAATTTATTTTTAAAGAGCTAATATTATAAACGTTTATTTTTAATCTTACTTCCAACGTCGTTGTTACTGTTACTTATTACTATTAGTGTTATTCTGTTGGTATGGTGAAATGATAATGTATCTAAACAAGAAATGATAAGGAAACCCAACATTGCATAAGCAAAAAGATCAACATCGAATAGGTTAGGAGAAATAAAAACAAGATTTTATAATAATAGATTTCGTATTGCGATATAGTCACTTGGACTTTGAAGGCTAACATTTACGAGCCCTTCCGAGGTTATATCACTAGATTTGCAAATTACTTTCAATGTGGCGCGGTCATAACTTTCGACACTGGCGCCGGCAAAGCGGGTGAATGTCTTTCTAGCTTGGTTTTATTTTTATTTTATTTTATTTATTTAATTTAAGGCATTATGGCCATCATATATAATACATACATCATACAATAAAATTGCTGAATTTATAAAAATACCGTACGTACTTAACGCCTAACCCTAAATCCTAACCAATGTTAATATTTATGTTCTCATACTTGTCGGTTTGTCCACTACACTGGATGACAAGGCTAGCCATGAGGTACAGGCTATAAAAATCAAGATAAAATTCTACTAGCCAAGCTAAAAACTATCGGCAATGGATATTAGACTAACTGGAAATTGGTTCGGTGTTATCTCTGCTGTAGTAAGCCAAATAACTGATGTAGAAGGTGATCGGAATGACCCTTGCTGCCTTCATGTCATCAGGGATTTTTCCTTGGATGAATGACATATTGATTACATGTGTAATAGCTGAGCAAAATACGTTTGATCCATCTTTTATAAATTTTATAAATTAATGTTTTTCAGCACCCGTAGTACCTCTTCCTCTCCCACCGTTGTAAAAGTAAATTAATTTTCTACTACGCCTTTGTCCCTATAATAATTTTGAAGACTAATCTCATCATACGTCCCTTCCTTTTGTGGTAGATCGTTTACCAAGTTTGAGGCCACACTTGTGAAATACTTATTAAAATTATTTGCAACAATTGCTTTGTCAAAACATATATTTTCTCAAATTTTTAGCCCTACCTCGCCTAAGTTACTGGTTTCCTTATTTTTCATCCCTATACTCGTTAAAGTCTGCCGTATCTTTTAGGGTCATTTTTGTGGTCCTCAACCTTTTCCGTATAGTAATTAGCCTTTGCTTTCTTAATTTTATGTTGAACTTTGTTTCTAAGCAATTTACTAAGCAGGTTGTTGAAGACATAGAGAACACAGGTTCAAATCTTAGTGGAGGATATATTGTTTCACGTTTAATTTTTTTAATTTAATATAATTCATTTTTTCCTTATGTCCCAAATGTCATTTCGAGCTATCTAATTAACAGAATAAAATTAGGATGATTACTAACATTAGTAATTACGATGTTAAATTAGAAAAATTAAGAACCAGGTATAGAAGATCGCACTTCTCTTTACTCCGTTTATGGATGCTGGTGCACAAAATGAAACACTATAAAAGTAGAGAAAAACTAATAACGAATGGTTTATTTTGGAAAATCTTTATTCCAATGCTTGACTTTAAGAATTGTAAGGCGCAATTACTATTAGCTAAGTGTAATCGCTTGTCTAACTATATGCTAACAGACAGCATAAGGAATTACGCGAAGAAATGTCATAACCTGATATGTTAGACGAGACTACAATCGAACGAATACACTCATACTGTCCTAATATACATTTTTAGTTTTTATTTGCATACCCACCAGTCACGTTAACAATCACAAGGCTCATGGAAACAGCAAATTTCACTGTGTTGAAGATGGATACATGCGACAGCGCTTACCCCGTATGTGTCAATTAAAATAACCTTTTGTTAAGTGGGTATCAAAATACTCGCGAACCAAAGTTAAATTGTATCCAGTATAAAAATACGAGTAGGGTTAGGAATGCGGTTAGATTTTTTGTTGTTGCAGTATTTATGTCACAGCCTTCGACTACATATTCACCGACATTCACGCACTAGTGTATGGTATAAAAAATATAACATGTAAACACGAATAGCCGCTATTTTTCGTCTTCGTCGGGTGCTTTAAATTTTGGTCAACGTCGTCACTATAGAAGTAAACCGAACTGCTTTTACGTAGTGTATATTTTGCTCTCTGGACGAATCAGGGACTAGAATCTGTTGCTGCTTGAGGTGGTTGTTGTTGGTGGTGTTGCTGTTGTATTTGTTGTTGTTGTTGTTGTTGTTGTTGCTACTGCTGCTGTTGTTGTTGTTGTTGTTGTTGTTGCTACTGCTGCTGTTGTTGTTGTTGTTGTTGTTGTTGTTGTTGTTGTTGTTGCTGCTACTGCTGTTGTTGTTGGTGATGATAATGTTGCTGTTGTTGCTGCTGCTGCTGTTGGTGTTGTTGTTGTTGTTGTTGTTGTTGTTGTTGTTGGTGGTGGTGGTGGTGATGATGTTGTTGTTGTTGGTGTTGATGATGATGTTATTGTTGTTGATGGTGGTGGTGGTGGTGGTTCATTTTGCGGCTCATATTGAACAGTATAATATAATGTATATTCGAGCATTCATACATTATGTATATATTATTATATTACACATAGATGTTTAATTTTGCGCTCCTACTGATCTTCTACTCCTCCCCATCTTCCTCGGGCGTGTTCCCATCTATCACTCCGCCTCACTCTATCACTCTATCTCACTCCTATCACCCTTTCTATCACTCGTGTCGCTGCTCGTGCTGCTGCGCCTCTAAGGCGCGCCTAATTTCTAATTCGAATTCTCTGAGGCATTTCTGGTTTGTCATCATCGTCGGTGAACGTTAGCGGCTGCACGATCTTATCCTCGATGCAGTCGGTGATGTAGGAAGCGATGTCGTTGTTAGGTAGACAGTGGACCGACCACGGTTGCCTGCAATGTAAGCACGTAGTGCGTGAGACACCGGGGTGACACATCACGCTTGTGCGTGACACACCACGCTTGTGCGTGACACATCACGCTTGTGCGTGACACACCACGCTTGTGCGTGACCACGCACTATTACCGCAATGGCATACACGCACACGTGCACACGCCTGCGCGTACGTTCACGCTTGTCGAGAGGATTCTGTCCACCGATGCAGAGAAAGAGAGTTAGCGAGATAGGAAGAGCGTCGTGAAAAAGTGATGACGATAGATAGCTACAGAGAAAGAGAAAACACGGAAAGAAAACGGGAATGGAGACAGAGAGGGAGAGGGAGAGAGAGAGGCAGAGGGAAGAGAGAGATATAGATAGATAGAGAGAGAGAGAGAGAGAGAGAGAGAGAGAGAGAGAGAGAGAGAGAGAGAGAGAGAGAGAGATGAGAGAGGGAGAGAGAGAAGAGAGAGATGAGAGAGAGAGAGAGAGAGAGGAGAGAGAGAGAGAGAGAGAGAGAGAGAGAGAGAGAGTATGGAAAGAGGCAAGAGAGAGATGGGAGAGACGAGAAAGATAAAAAAGAGAGAGAGAGAGAGAGAGAGAGAGAGAGAGAGAGAGAGAAGAGGAGAGAGATAGAGCGTGCAGAAATTAATTCCGAGCGAGTCCTCATTATTCACCGCCGCTGGAAGTGTTCGGCGAAACGCGCAAAACCGCAAAATCATGCGAGATGGCCTGCGAGTAGCCAGGAGGCAGGGATGCTGGCGAGTAACAATCGATGCATTAAATGGGCGAGCAAAAAAATGATGCAGGGATGCTGGGCGAGTAAACAATGAATACAGGAATAGTGGGAGTGCTTGCGAGAAGCAACGTATGGCCGCGGGAGGCTGTAAAAATAACAAAATCAGACGTGGGCGTGCACCGCGTGCCTCTCCTTCAGCTTTTATCGACAGCTGGTAGCGAATTACGGCGTTATCTGCAGCGACACACCTACCGAAGTCCTCATGACGAAGGCCAACGCAGGAAGCCCTCGCACATAAAGATAAAAATATTCAAGTTGCGGGCGAAATTATTCAGCGACGGTAGAAGAAGAGTCGGCGACACGCCGTCAAGTAAAATGCGAGTTCTATCGGCGGCGTACAGCGTACGGCGAGGCCGTGGAGATCCCGGCGCGCGGTGTTTGTATCACGAAGCAAGTGCGACGACGGCGCGAGCTACGGAACGTTGTACGACCGCCGCGAAACTGTTAGCGTTGGGCAATTCGAACTCACTGTGCAACAACAACAATGCAGTCGGCGCTCACGAATCTCCGCTTACGAGATGAGACCCCGGCGGGGCGCGAGCCGTTTCACGCAGATGCCCGCCAGCTCAACACGAGTCACGATCCGAAGACCATCTATCTCGCGTATAATCGCGCAAACGGGAACAACGACAAAGCTAGGACCGACAGTGCATGCAGGAGCAGAAAACAAGCGCCATGTAAAGTGACCTAAAGCTGGTTATACTTGGCCAGGCGCCTCGGCGCTACGAGCCGCGAAAATGTCGTGCGAATAGTGGCTCGTGTTTTAGATGGGGCAAGGTCGTTGTGCCACGCGGTTTCTACGGAAGTTCTGCGCGAAGATGCGTACAGAGAGAATACGATCGCACGCGCGCACAATTAACACGGAACTCGAGCAACTTCTCAGCGCCCGCTTATCGAATTCGCATGACAGCAAACAGTTCTACTCTCTGACATCCTCACCAGAAAGAACCTGTTCATGTGTCTTCTTTTTTCAGCAGCAAGCCTTTGCCACCCGCTCTCTCTTCTCTGCCCACGTCCCCCCCACACACACGCCACACTCGCAGAACACTTGCGCATAGCTCTGCCTGATGAAGCTAGGCTCCGCTGAAGCCAACCGGGATCAGCGCGGCGAACCGCATCGATCTGAAACTCTCAAAAGATTTGTAGCGCAGCAAAGACGGCAGCTCGATGAAGTCCAGGATCGACTAAGATCGCTGAGAGAGACGAGCGGGAGGAGAGAAAAAAAAGCACCAGCCGCCCGCCACTCAGGGAGGCAAGAACGGGGCCAGTGAACTTGACTGACTAAGCACAAGGAATACTAAAGAGGATACGGCCGCTTCACATCACGCCCGCCGCCGGCGTACTGGCTACGAAACCGTGTGGGAGGTTGAGCAGTGGTTAGCGCGCGACTTTCTTACTCCAAAATAAAGATCGGGAATGTAAATACAGCCCGTTTATACGCCCACGCCACTGTCAACATACGCCGCCCGGCTCGCCTCTATTTCTATCTCTATCATTCTACCCCTCCTGTCTTTCTATATCTCATCATCTATATATGCTCTTTTCTCTCTCTCATTTCTTTCTCTTCTCCCGTCGCTCTCCCTTCTTCCGCCTATCTCTTTCCTTTGTGTATCCCCTTTCTATTTCCCCCTCTCTCTTTCTCATTATTCTCTATCCGCACCTTCGCCCGCAGATCGCTGGCCGGCCGGCCGAGAGATATATATTTACAAGAGCTAATAATCACCTAATAATAATAGGCTCTCGATATATGCGAACAATCTCTAGAGCCTGCGCGGTTACCGATACAGCGTGCACTCATCGATCTGACGTTAATCACGCGCATCTGACGCCTACAGAATAGCATCATTGCGTACATACTCGATAAACCAGGCAGCGAATAAAGATAGATCATTGCGTACATACTGATGAACCAGGAAGCCGAATAATAGATAGCATCATTGCGTACATACTGATAGAACCAGGAGCGAATAATAGATAGCATCATTGCGTACATACTGATAGAACCAGGAGCGAATAATAGAGAGAAAATAATAGCGATAATCTCTATTATTCAGTCCTGATAGCATCATACCGACGAAATTCCGATGACAATACACATCCACGCTGAACCACAGGCACTTGGAACGTCTCAATAAATAAAAATAATGGTAAATAAACACGAAATGTGATTACTACCAAAGTCTTAAAGCGTCTATTGCGAGAATTTTCCAGTGTTTTCCCCACTTTCCCCATGATACCTACACGTTATGCTTTGAGTAACAGCAATCTGTCTAAAGTCCACGATAAAATGTCTAGAAACCTTCGTATCACCAAATCCAATGAAATCATGCACGATTACAAGTTTTGGCGTTCTGTTGTCTAGTTTACCCGTTGCATCTCCCGAATTTTCTCGGCGTACGCGCGACGACATCTATCATTGTGACGCAATTCGCATACACCACCGTAAGAACATCAGGTCAGAGTGTCAAACACACGACGTTCCTACTAGCGTCAACAGCAGTGAGTAGCTAATCGCCACTCAAACGTCTGTTATTAGCAGAAGCTTCTGTGATTGCAGTCATGGAGAGAGCACGGGAATGACATAATGCCGAAAAACGTGCTCTGATTATTGACATAAAAACTCAATAATATTTAGCCAAACAGAATTGTCGCGCGTGTGTGGCTATCTCCCCGGGCGTAAGAGCGGCAGGTTTCAGCGTGATAACCGTTGAGCGGGATGACGTCACAACATAACGGTTAACCCTAACGGTTAAACCCCAATCGGACAACACGCACCCGACTCACCCCTAGCACTTAAACATATATATCTGCGCCCGCGCTAATATTAAGGCATTGTGCATCTACAAACAATTTCTATCTATAGTGATGGGACAGATAGTTCATGAACTGCAAAGAACCTTCAGATGGAGACCCTAACCCTCCTGGCGACTGATATCTAACGCCTAAGCCGCTAACTCCTAACCCTAGAGGGATTTACCTCAACCTGACGCCCGTACCTAATCCTAACACTAATGCTACAGGCACTACGTCGAAGCTTGCCACGTTAGCGGAGTTCACGACTATCCCACTTCACTACTTCTAATGGCACACCCGAAGCGAGGTCAGCGCTAGTTATTCTACTCCTCGACTGATATAGTAGTCACAGTCTGAGAAGCAGTACGAGAAATATCTCGAGCACACCCGGTTATCAGCACGCGCGAACTTGCGAGCGGGCGAGTTTACACTATCTATAAATGACTAACCCTATAACCCCTTCTATCACTCTATCTAGCCGATCTATCTATTCATCCTATCTTACTATCTATCTATCTATCTTATCATCGTATCGTATCTATCCATAATCCATCATAACTCCTAATAATTCATCTATCTATCTATCTATGCTAAAAATCACATCCTCTACATCCCTAACCTTACATAACGGCCTAACTACTTCAATCTAATACTATTCAAGATACTAAACACTCAACACTAGCATCCCAAATAATCATAATGCTGAGAATAAAGACTATATACAATATAACGAAAAATTCAACAATAACTATAACCATCCAAGACTGGGTATTTGCAGATACTATCGTACGTCCACAACCCTATCTATCTATCTTCAGTTACAATGAGAAATCTCATCGTCACGTCTGACGACAAATTATCGATCTACGTCTACTTATAACTCTATCTATCTATCTATCCTTATACTTATTTGCGTATTGCTACGAGCATAATGATGTGAATTGATGATGCGCAGTCTCATATATGCCTCAATACTACTGATTAGGGCTCATCTTAGTTGCATATGTGTCTACTTAAGCTGAGTGGTTGGCTTACACTGCGAATCGTCTACATCTAATCTAGCATACGTCTATACTGCTTAACGTTCAATCGCGGCGAGTAACCACTCAGGAGGCAAAACTATCCTATATGCCTAGCCGATAATGAATCACTAGCGAGATTCTAGTTAACACCAACATTCGAGTCAACACCACTAACACAGATTGCCTTAGCAGCTTATAGCATAGACAGAAATTCTACTCGAGAACGCCACCATATCATAACAGGCACAATATACAATTTTAACTCCGTGTCACGACTCTCAAAATCAAACACAAATCTGGGTCTCAAACACAACGCGAACATACATTCAAAACAACAAAAGGTCGACAATAGATAGGTCGTATAACCTCTTCCTGCCATCGAATGATCCGCGTGCGACGTCCG